TAATGACCTTGGATATGTTTTCTTCTCAGGTCCTCAGCTCCAGGAGATGGTCACATTTCTGTTTTTTTCTGAAACAAAGTGCTTCAAGACACGTTTTATTGGGGGCAATGTTTGTTTAGTAGAAGGGAGCTACAGACTGGAGTAAGGTTCATGCTAACGCATAAATTTTAGATACTGGTCTAGACATGAGAGCATACCTGTCACCAGGGGTTTTATGTTTTGGCTTAGTTCTATCTTCAGAAAATGAAGAGTTCTGAGGTAAGGTATATTTCATAGAACTGAGAATGTGAAATGAATAGCAAAATCTAGAATGTAAAATAAATAGCAAAATGAAGTTTTGCTGTATATTTATTGTCAGAATGAGGTTTTAGACACAGTTCCTTTGTCTGCTGTACAATTTCTGCCAGCTAAGGATGGGATAAGAGCTGATAAATTTTTCACAGCATTTCATTAGTTGAAGAAATCAATAATTTCTCATTTCTCCTTAAATGGGCATCCACCATCAAGAATGGAAGATCTGTGCAAAACAAGACTTGTCCCTTGTGCTAAATGCTCAACTTTATAGCTATACAAATAGGTTACACCTGAGTCAGTAGCATGGTAGTAGCTTTTTCTTACTCTCTGATTCCTGTGACTGTCATAAGATGAAGAAAACCATTAGCAGCTGCACAGCTCTGTGTGGAGCAGGACTGAATATGCTGAATTAGTTCACAGAGAGCTGATAACAAATGAGGGAAGGGAGACTGCCTCCCAGTTGAATAGTTTAGTGCCGTGGCCTGTGTTTTTAGTCTCAAGAATAGGAGATTGCTGGCTTTAGTTACACTTTCGGTAGATGAATTACACACTGGTGGCAGCTCTTATTTGACATGTAATAATCGATACTTCTCTGCTTACCCACAAATGAGCAGCAGAGAGCTACCTAATGGTCCAGAGAAGGAAAAAAGTCTGTCATCTTAAACAAATCTTATATGCATTCAATGAAGCCTTTGCTGTATAACATTTTAATGTATTCCTGTTTTTCTGGTGACTTTGTGGATGCAAATTGCTTGTAGACCTTTTAGCCCAAACATGAGGGTCTGCAGCTTTTACAGCTCCATGAGCCTGGGCGAAATCTCAGCCTCTGGGGCAAGCAGGACCAATTTCAGGAGAGCCCCATGGCACTGCCCCTGTCCTAGGGAGATCAGAGCATAGCGTCAGATGTGGCCTTCCTGGGGAGGAGCACACTGATAAGCCACCATGAGTGCAAAACCCACCACAGTTTCATCAGCTTGTGCCTTATCTTTGACTGGGTCATTACAAGTATCTCTCATTGTGGCCATGCCTGTGTGCTTGCCTACACATGGCAGATTAATGTCTTTGTAAATGCACTTTTCACTGACTGTTGAATGCTTAGGTCCCTCCCAAGGCTCTCGCAAGCAGTATTGAATTCTTGGAAACTCATCGTCTTGACCTTTTTCTTTTGGAATATTTATTAGTGTGCAATAGCTACAGACTTACTCAAAGTGTTAGGAGTAGCAGCAAAAGTTGATAACTATTACTAGTGTGCAGTCTTACTGGTTTTAAAGCACCAGAATAACTAGCTGTCTTCATCCTTGTTTGACTGCAGTTATACTCAGATATAAACATCACTTAATGAACCTTGCAGCAAGTAGGGGCTGAACCACTGTTATGTAGGGCAGTTCCATATCTATGTGGCAATGTTCTTCCTGCATTAGCATAATTAAATCTAAATATTGGCTACAGAGGGAGTTTGTTTTATTGCACCTCTCAGCTGAATGTGTGTCAGGGAATATGAGTGAGTGGAAAATGTTTGGAAGTAGGCAGCGTGCTGTGGTGTATTGCGTTTCACTGACATGAGAGGAATGTGGCAGGGAGGTCTACAGTTGCCTGCTGTAGGCACTAGCACTCAGGCTGAAAAGCAGCTTGGGATGTGCCTTTTGCTTCATTAAGCAAAAGGCCTTATGCCTGTGGCATGAAGTGCTATAAAGCACAGTGTGGAACTATTATAGTGTATGTTGTTAGACAGGATTGCCAATCTCAAACATGTGAAATTATAAATCAGATATTTTACAGCATAAAATCTGTCTAGAAATTAGGGATATGTGGCTTTTTAAATTCTTCTTTCCTTTTTACTTTGTACGATTCATTTATTTTTAAGTGAAAGCTGAGATCTTCACTGACAGTTGAGATCCTCACCTGGCTTCAGGGCTTCAAGAACACCAGATCTCAAAAAAAACTTGCAAAAAAAGGTCATAAAAGTTCTTAGCAGTGAGTCAGACATCTGTAGAACCTGTGTGACTGTATAAGCTTTGTCACTGTAAATAGGATCTAAAAACCAGGGATGCAAAATGCAGGGTAAGCTCCTGGCACTGGCAGTTTAGTTGAGGTTTGCTTACCTTTAACAAATGTCACTAGCTGTGCTCGCTCACATAATTGAACAGCTGGCAAAAAACAAACCAACCACCAAAATATAGAAAGCGTGTGTTTGGGAGGGAAACCATGTGAGGCAGTTTATAGCCCTTGCAGCCAGTTACCTGTGGCTGATCCGTGTCTGCTGTATCTTCTGCAGCATCCCAGAACTTCATCCTGTGCATGTTGAGGTCAGTAGCAGGACTCCTGTAATGCTTAGGGATGCATTAATTTCCTTATCTTGTCTCATCTTCCAGGCTGCAGCTTTGGGATTTTGAACCACTGCACTGTTAGCAAGCAAGGAAGGTGGATCATTCATGTTTCTAGGCACTTGCACAGCACTGAAGGAACAATACCAAGGGAGAAGCACAGGCATTTTTAGGATCCTTTGTTCACTGTTCCTACTGACCTGCACTTCAGTCCCAAGGAAGATAAACTACAGAGCCCACACTTTGGAAATATTAAGATCCAATAATTAATAACTGTGTAGGATTTTTAATTCAAAACTCAAGTTTGTTGGTTTGGAAGGTGGGTGCTCCTGTGCATAGGTTAGGTAGTTGGTAGGTGAGCTGTAAATCTGCTGCTGTTCTCTCTGCCTCTCTTGAACTCAGCTGAGATCGTTTTTGGCTGTGCAACCCCAGAGGAAACAACACTCTTGAAATAACATTTCAGCACCATAAACACGTCTCTATTTGATGCTCTGACATTTGGTGTTGGCAGCTCAGCCTGTCTCTTCAGTACATGTGTGGCTGCCACCATTCAGCCAGTCCTTCTTTCCTGCACAGGTAGCTCAGATGAAAATCACCTTTCTCTCAAGAGTTCTCCAGGCAGCAGTTTAACATGGCTAAGCCTCAGGAACTCTGTCATGCAAATATAAACTTGCTCTTAGGTCAACATTTAAAGCATTGTTTTCATTGTTTTTAAGAATCCTATTAGTTACAGAGGAATGATAAATAATCCAGTAGTCTGGAACCACATCGTTCTGGCTCAGGGAGCTGTTACCACTACAGATTATGCTTTAGGTCTTGGAGGTGTGCTTTTGTACTCTTGGATCTAGCAGTTCACCTAATGGTTCAGTGTAATTCAAACCCACTGAAGTCTGCAGGAGATACCAGTGCATACTTCCCCCACCTCCAGTGGAAGCATTTATAGTCAGAAGCAATGCTTTGAAATGTTTTACTGCTGTCATATTGATAAGGAGAAAAAAAAGATACAGATATAAAGAGGTTGTGTGCATTAATTATTTATCTTGTAATCAAGAAAGTATAAAAATAATCCAGGATGAAAATTGGGAAGGGTTGTAAAGCACAGCACTGGCTCTTTCAGTCTGAATAATGCAGACCGCATTCAGGCTTTCTCCACGGAACATGACGTCTAATCCCAGCACAAGTAAATACATGGTTTTTTTCTCTAAAACAGATTTTGAAAACACACAGCTCTTGAGAGGAGACTAATTGTGCTCAGCTTCAAGTGAATAATTGAACTGTGTGGAGTTATTATTTTCCTGTCTCCTCTGTAATGATTCTTACTTATTAATTCTTAGATATTCAACTTTCAGGGTTTTTTTAGCGTCAATCAAGCTCTGCTTCTATTGTCTGAAAAATAAAATATGTAAAGGAAAAACTGCCACAGATTTAAATACATTTACAGTATTGTAATTAAACCAATGGAAAATATGAACCATTAACTTTTTCTCTCAGGGACTCAGCCACCTATGGGATTTTTGTGCCTTTGAAGATCTCCCAAGAGATCCAGTGTGCTTTGCTTCTCCTGATTGCTATTGAAATAAAAGAAGCTTTTAGTTCTTTAAAATCTGTTGTCTTTATCTGCTACTAATTACGTAGTAAGTGCTGTGGTATCAAAACAAAAACAAGTTGCTCTTCCTACACTTATACTTTTGATGGGATTTGCAGTTCGGCCAGTCTGACTCTTACTGTATTTGTGATCATGGTGGATTAAGGCAGATCCCTTTGGCCTGTATAAAGAACCCTCAGGGCATCTTCAAACAGTGGAAAGGGTGAATAGAAAACAGACTGGAAAAAGATGAGAGAAGGCACCTGAGAAGGCAGGTAGACTGGTCCTGAGTCCTGGGGCATAACTAATGAGACACATGCTGCTCCTTCTAGACGTAAGCCTAGTGCCTTTTTAGAAGTCTCCACTAACAGCAATCATGTCACCTAATGAGGGTTTGAGTAGATTTTTTTCCTGTAAGAAATGTTTTCCTCATGGCCAACTCGCTCCACCAGGTGCCTGTGCCTTAGTCCTTAACTTGCTGCCTTTGTTGCAGGAGTAGGATGATGCCAAGTGAAAAGGGGAAGTGCTCAGGCAGTGGGAGGAAGGAGGTGGAGGGCCTTGATGGAGAGCCCTGGGAGGATTCTTTGTCATTGTGTTTCTCACTACTGATAGCTTTAACTTTCTGATACTTTTGAAAAGCTTTAGACAGATAGTGAGTAAGAGCAAAGTTTGGAATCTAAGGAGAACCTCACTCATGGGGAAATATCTGGGTCCCATCTGCAGAACCAAAACATAGTAGTAAATTGACAGAAAGACATGACCATAACGCTCTTTTCTTGTCTTTTCTACCCTCACAGATGAACAGGAGCCAGCAGTGAGCAGTGATTCAGATATTTCATTGATTATGGCAATGGAGGTTGGACTGTCCGATGTGGAGCTTTCCACTGATCAAGACTGCGAAGAGGTGAAGTCTTGAAAAACAGAGATCCAACACTAAACTACAGGGGAGGGTCACAGGGAGGGAGTGTGTCAGCTTTCTAGGATTTGGACCAGTCATGCACATGCCTCCAGAGCACTGTCACTCCTGCACACTCCATTCTGAGATGGTCATGAAAAGCAATAGCAACAGTTGTGTCTGCCTGGATGCAGTTTCATCATCTGCATACGTTCATTTTGTCCACACGGGAGATGAGCGCTTTCAGTTTACCCACGTGCTTGAGAGCGGTCATGTAACTCTTCAGTGGCTCATAAATAAGCAACTGAAAAGACAGCTTGAGTGTTTTCTACACTTGTTCGATTGGGTTTTGTTTCTTTGTTTTGAAAAGACGTCCATTTGTTATGTTTGTTTGGTTGGTTATAGTTTGTTATGGATGGACACTCTGTTTTTATTGACTGACCCCAGCTTTTTCGAGAGTTCAGTCCAGAAATCTGAATTCCCATTCACTGGTCACTTCATGATCTGACTCCAGGATTTATCATTGCCTTGTTGTTTCTGCATGAAGTACACATGGCTTCAGAAGGATGGTGCACCAGCACCCTGCATTAACGTGAAGTCTGCTTTCATTAAGTGGGAGCCTTGGAAATAGTATATGCTGAAGGCCTTTATTTGTAGGATAGCTGCGAGTTAACAGAGATTGTTGATATTTGGGTTAAAACTCCATTGCGTTGGCTTTTATGTAGAGGTCTGTTCTAGACAAGTATCATACAGTGAGAAGGAGAGAAAAAAAAGCTTAAAGCTTTACTCCATCCTTGTAGTCCTTTGCTATATTTTATGCCATTAGCAGTTGTCACTACAGTAATGGCCTTCCTACAGTTCAGTAGCTGGAAAAGAAGATCTAGTATAACATCATGTCTCTTCTTAATTTTGCAGACTGACTGGTAGGCTAAAGGAGTGTCTGAGAGGTTTCCAGAGGCTGCTTGTTGACAGCTGTGCATTATGTGGATGACAGTGTTCTTAGAAAGGGTCTGAAGATGCTGATATCAGCATCAGAAATTGCTAATGAAGCAGGAGGCAGCTGGTTGAAATGTTTGCTTCCTGGTTTGTTTGTGTTTTTTTTCTTGGTGTTTTTCACTTCTTACTTTTTAAAACTTGTTACCCAACACAGGAGTTCAAATGGTTCCTTGCCCTCCAGGGTCCCTGTCAACACTGTGGCAAACATAATAGAATACTTGCATTTTGTATATAGATAGGTGTACCAAAATACATTGGGTAAAGGGGAGGGAATGTGAAAATAAACAGAACTAACATAAATCAAAACGCCTAAGTAATAATGGCCTGCAATGATTATTTAGTTCATCCTGAGCTCTGGTTTTCATAGGAAAGCTTATATCATTACTTGTTCAGTGTATGATTTCCTTTTTCAGTCAAAATACTCAACTGTGAAGAAGCATTTTTAGCTTACTGTTACACAAGAGTACACGGTTTCTGTTGACAGTCAGATGATTTGAATCACATTACTGCCTCCTGAGTCAAGTCCATAGAATCAACAATTCATCTTACATTGCAATTTCATGGCGAGGTCAAACATTTTGACTTGATGGTGCCATGGCAGCATCTCAAAATGCAACTATTAGGGTTCTTGCTGTGTTTAATCTCCTTTTGGATTTACTTGTTAAACGTGGAGACCAACTTCCAGCCAAAATTTGGTTTGTCAGATCTTATTCAGGAACAAATATGTTTAGAACTATCCCTAAAATTTTGGCTGACTTGCTTCTTTAGTACAGGAAGAAGGAAAAATTATACTCCATCCTTTTCGGTCCAGTTAGAACTCAATTCATTTTATAGCTTAATTTTTTTGATGTTCTTAGTCCCTGAATTACAGGGTAACTTTGAGGCGAAGGAGCACAGCCTAATCATCCTTCAAAACCATGATCTGGAAATGTGCAGTTAGATTTTTATAAGCCATTTGAAAGGACATCTCTACTTAATTAAGGAGATGCTGGAAATCTGCTTGGTTTAAAAAGACAGTTAGAGATCATTCCAAAGGGCGCAGCTAGGTCAGTTTTGCCAGTATGTGTGGTTCTGTGATCATATTTTCCTTATTCTTTAATGTCTCCTCTATTCCTTGCTGCTATGGGAAAGGTCCACAGCATCAGGAGGACCAATGCTGAGATTCACCCCTACGCAAGAGAGTTTGCACAAGGTACTGCATCAGCTCCACTTAGGCTCTGGAAATAATGCTGAAATGGGATTTAAGTGGTGCTTACAGCACCACTGGCCCTTCACATAGGAATGAAATTCATCTCAAATGACGGCAGGGGAAAGAGTGAAGTTGGTTATACACAGTCAGGTCTCCCAAGGGGAACTGCACACGCTGGTACAATTTCTTCTCTAGTGCTGGAGCCTGGGTGCTACATGTCACAGGAACATCACGAACACAATGTCTGAGTTGTCAGTAATCCTTTAGCATCCACCCGCTGCAGCGCAGCACACAGACAAAATACTCTTGGCTGCACTGATTGAGTTTTAGAGAAGCTGTCACAAAGTCTTTGTTTTATTTCACACTGAAGTTAATTTCACAATTAATTAAGTTAATCTCAATAGATAGATTGACCTATTATCTGTTGCCATAGCAGATTCATCCACAACACAGCAGAGCAGTGAGGTCTGTGGAAAAGCAAGACAGTAGATGAAACTCCCAGCTGACACTCAACTGGGTCCTTTGCCCAGCAAAATCATTGGAGGGAGCTGTGCTCAAAGGGGCATCACATAGATGGTAACTGAGATCCTGCCCTTATTTCTAGGAGTTGGGGAAGGATTTCAGGGAGGGATCACGCTGTGCATGTTCTTTTCCTGTGTATCCCATACCAGGTGTGGTCCCTCAGGTTCCGCAGGTGGCCACTGGCAGGGTGCTAGGCTGAGCGAGACATTTACACATATCACCATATTGTAGTCTTCCAGAAGAGGCACCCTAGCAAATCTGAGTCAGGAGTCAATCTGCTTTTGTTTTCCCTGTTCTACCTGCGGTTTCACTCAGGAAATATGTTTTTCCATCTCTGTCCTCAGGTGTTCTACAGCTCTGGGCACTGTTAAGCAGTAGCAAGTAGAAAGCCAGGTTACACATCACTGAAGCCAGAATTTAGGAAAGCACTTAAGTAAATGATTTATTCTGTCCTTCAGAAAAGCACTTGCAGCTAATTTTGGACTTGCACCAAAATCATGTTATTTTCAACAGGTCTATGAGAATAATTAATTCCCTCTGTCAAATGGAAATATTTTTCTAAAGCAGAACCTGGCTGACAGTATTCTTTGTATATATAACCTCTGAAATGCCTTGCAAGTTTGAGGTGCTTCATAATGACTAAGACCCCCAAGTGTATGTTTGTAGCACATATGAAAGCCTTAATTCTGCAGATCTGCATGCCCATGTACTATTTTGCTTACACGAATCTCTGCACTAAGATTTCCTCACAGGGTACAATTAAACCTCCCGATTTGCAGCTTTGAGCAAGATGAGTCCCATCCTGTGAGTTGTGCAAGTCCTCAGTACTGCTGCCTGCTAAGCTTGGACTCTGGAATTAAATACGTAGGGCTCAGATGCCAGGGACAGAGCACTGCCTGTTCAGAAGGGAAAGCAGCCTTTAGCATGCAGCCAGGAAAACACAAAATCCTCTGGTGCCCTCTGATGAACAAGTGTTCATGCATGTAGTTCTGCAGGCTCATGCTGTGACTTACACCGGGGCAAAGGGGCACCTCCTGCACAGGGCTGGTGGCCAAAGGAGGGATAGTGCAGCTCTCGAGAAAGGCATTTTTGTCATTAAGCTGATCTTGTGTCTCTGAGCTTTTCCTGCCCTGTCGTCTGAGGCTTTTCTCTTTTCCATGAACAAGTTGTAGGTGGGAGAAGCATTCATCTTAGTGAGGCTCATCTCCACTCATGCTAAAGTGGTTGCAGGGTGAAACTTGGGCAGAGGGAGACTGCCCTCTGGCTGTCCTTTGATTTTCATGGGTTTCACTGAACTGCTTTCCAAAGGCCTGTTCAATAGGACACAAAAAGTTGTATAGGAGAGTTTTGCACTCATAAGTGACCTAATGCGTGCATGCAGATGTGCAAGGTGCCAGTTCCACATCCCCTCCCCATGGCTGACTTGTTCTGGTGAGGATTGAGATCTGACACTTCCTGAGGGTTTGGGGTGTTTTTTTATTTTCTGACTGCTTCAGAGCCTCAAAACCAGGATCAGGTCAATCACAGTGCTATAGTTCATTCTTTAAGCATTCTGTAGAATTATATTACCATGAATGCGTATAAAAGTGTATTGGTAAGACTATAGAAACCATATTGTAGTGGAAACAGAAGCAGCTGTCATTTTTATATGACTTTTTATATGGGGGAGATCGTGGCACTAAAGAAAAAGGCTTTCTAGAGGCAGTTTGGGAAAAAAAAAGTCCATATGATACGAGCTCCCTCAGATCTCACTGCTTCAGTGACCCCTAGATCAGATCCAGAGGAAGCCATTGCAAGAAGAGCAGTGCTTAGTCTTACTGAATGACTTGTTTGGGATACATTTTTACTTTGTTATCTAAATGAACCCAAGCACAGAGACAGATCCAGCTCTGAATTTGATCTTTCTCAAAGAATGTGCATTGTGATCCAGTTATTTTCCTTGTCAAACCTGTTAACCCACCTTCTTTTTCCCCCTTGCTAAAGCAAAAGAAGTGCTTATCCAGTTTGAAAAATGCATATGGATGGGCTGCCCTGGTGGGTATCTGCAGATCACGTTTCTGTGTACGTTTACTCATCAGTACAACACAGTTGCAGATTATCCATAGAGTCTGTTTTATTTGTTGTTCGTGTTAAACCTGCAGTTGTCATTTAGATTTTCCAGAGTTTTGCCTTACAAAATTCTCCTTTGAATGTACGCCACAGCCCTTTGAGTAGATTCTGTGATTAAAGGACGAAGATCAGGGCACAAGTCTTTAAATGTAGATCTCTGGATTGCAAGTCCAACTTCCCAGCTGGGAATCTC